TACATTTGCCAGCAGTGTAAACTTTGAGAGAAAAGTTCATTTGGCACGCAAGTCTTTTTCAGGTGTATTTTTTCTTAGGCTTTGTATAAAAAAAATACAAAAAAGAAAAAAACTGTCTAAGGTTGGTCTAATGAATGGCCGTCCTAGTCACCAGTTCCGAGTATATTCGATTTTTGAGTATGAGGCCTTATGTTGGACAGATGAGGGAGTATAAGGGACTCAAAATGGAGAAAATTTGCCTATGGTTACAGGAGATATGGAATAAATTAACTGACGAGGACCTGCGTGCCAAATGAACTTTTCTCTCAAAGTTTACACTGCTGTCAAATGTAAACAAGGATTAAAATTTAAAAACTAATTAATACAACTAAAGTAAAATCTGTGGAAAATTAACAATAAAATACTTTTTTCGCAAAATCTATAAAGGACTCTTTTATTTCTCAAAGAAACCTGGGTAACAGTTAATCGTCGCCACGCTGTACAAGCTTACTACATATGTATGTATGTATGTATATGCACTGTTGTCGATGAAGGCAATTGATCGAAATCGAAGTGTGCGCTCAGTCTAATATAGTAACCGCTTAATATAGTTTGTAGGTGTAAGTGAGTATGTACATACATATGTATGTGTTTTAAAGTCGCTGTTTTGCGAAATCAACGCAATGTGCAAATATGGCCAAAACGCTTTTGAATATCTTAAATGTTATGTATGTACATGTGTATGTATTGTATGTATGTATGTAGATGGATTGAGCTGGAGAACGTGTAGGCGAGCAACAAGTTTTCTAAACTATTACGTCCAGCTGTAGATTTGTTAAAAATATTCGATTGCTCTTTTTTTTACAAAATACAAAACTAATCCATACGAGTACCATACATACGATAGAACCTGTTAAACAGAGCTGGGCCGTAATGATTCTCTTAAGAATTATATTACTCTCAATTACAAATTACAAGGTATTGTAATTAGTAATCAATTCGTTCAGTTCACAGCAAAGGAATTGATTACTTTTTCAATTACTTAAAAGTAATTTCAAAAGTATTTTTTTTTGTTTTTAAATTCCATTACAAGGAATTAATTACGTGCTAGTAATGTAATTGGGTTTTTCCAATTCCTTTGAAAGGAATGAAAATGTGAAAACATTTTTTCAATTCAATTTGAAAGGAATGGAAAAATAAAATTTTTGCTTCCAATTCCATTCTTCAAAGTAATTCAGAAAGTAACCAAAAAAATGTATTGAAAATTTTTTTGACTGTTGAATTGCAATAGCTGCCTTGAATTAACAATTTATGCCTAAGTAGTATCACTTTAAAATAGCCGAAGAAATTAAACTATAGCTTATTAGTTTATGTGGTTAAAAAGGCAAGGTTGGTTGACAACGATATAAAAAAAAATCCATCGTTTACCTAGCATCACATACATATATCTCTGCTATCGGCGAGCGGCTAAAAATCTTCGATACAAAAAGTGCCTCATCACGGCCATTTGAAGTCTCTTGCAAATCTATGTATTCTCTTTTTTAAACTTTAAGCTAAAGCTATTTATAACGAAGGGAAATTTTAAAATTGAATACAGTCAAAAACCAACAATAACTGTATCAAATTGTATAAATACATAAATAAACGATTTGATTATTGGTTACTTATGTTTTCGGCCACCTGCTGGGCCTAACATAAACATCCAAACACACAAGCCTCACTCACCTCTGAAGTAACAAACCCAATTTTTCAAATGATTAATGACTTTCCAATACGCTGATAAAAACTTTCAATTCGTTCAAAAAAGAAAAAAAAAAAGAAAGAAAGCGTTAGGGAATCAAAAAAAAAAAACCGAAATAGAAATGGTATTTAATTACACACTTTGGGGGAATTCGCTATTTAGAGCTAATTAAGAATTTAGACGATGCACAAGTGTGTAAGCATTTGGTGTATTTATACCTTTAGTTTAGAATGTATTTTGAAGCATCGGAAATGGGTAGACATTCTCTCAGCTCTATTTATAAATAAGAAAACATTGCGATAAAAACTGCACGCATTTGCGGTTTGCACAATTCAACATTTCTATTTATTCCTTTATTGTACATAAATGTATATTCCATCGCGAATTTAC